CTCTCAGGGGTGGCAATCGAAATTCTGTTCTTGGATCACTGGCATAGTCATACGCCCTCACACATTCGGATTGCAAACGCTAGCAATCTCAACAATATCCCCCACTTCACAGAAGGAGTTCTGTTATGCACTCCTTGCATATTTCGCGCTCTGGCTTTCAGTTGTTACGTAACTCCACTTATCAACTGAAGCAGTTTCTAGGATTGTTTAAGTTCCGAGGTGCGCACCACAAGCCGTACTTCACGACTGACTTCGGCGCTCTGCCTCACAACCGATAATAGGCGTCAATCATCGTCATTCGTCTGCGTATCCTTTTCGAACCAAACTGCCGTTCCTTAAACAGCGGGGTTTTGTGGGTTGGCATCGTAATAGCTAGCAGGATGCACACACACGAGCTCACCTGATGCACTTCAAAGGAGACCACTTTGATTGGGTACGGCGTCTCTTATCTGTCACGCCTAGTCGCTCGTACAACTTCTACCACGATTGACAGTGTCTGCTCTATTTCACTCCATGTTTTCGTGTTTTTGTGGGGGCAAGAAGCACTAAACATCAAAAAGTGCGAATCCAATAAGATTATGGCATTTCTCAGAACGGCATCGCTGAACAAATTCGACATTTGTGTTTTGGGCTTATCTTTCGCAGACTTCAGAACTTGAGAATTTGAGAACTCAAACGAAAAGTGGTGCCAAAAATTGAAATTCGCCAACGGCATTTCGTACGCAGATGGGTGGCGTAAGTCGTTTGATTTCAGCTTCCCCAATCCCAAAGCTATCATTTTGAATTAAATGAGAATTCCTCACCCACAGACACACCCACAGTCAATGAATCTGTACGTGTGGCGTCCGTTCATCGTTGCGTTTACCTCAACTTGGGAAAATCCTCATTTTCAACCACGTAAACAATCTCCAATGGCACGGGCTGCAAGCAGTCTCTTTTAACAAGTGACATTTGCCACTGAGGTAAGATGCACCACACGCTTGACGAACAGGCGTTATCTTGATATTCACAGCAAGTCCTCAATTCAACAGCCACTACCCAACCGACTATAAGAACCAATGATATCACCGATACGAAGAACAATAGCACAGTGCATTTTCATGACAAATGAGATCGTGCAGCAGCTAACCAATGAGCATGCTGGGTTATCTCATATTTGCATGAGGGAAAGTGCACACGAACATTTACAATTCACGAATCGTTGGCTCCCAAATGCTCTGCAACATTCTGATTGCCAATGTTGTGATTTTGGCTAGCTACATTGTCATTGCTTTGCTGTGGCCAGTGATAATCTACTTCGTATTGCGTTTCCTCTTTAGTAGAAGAGGCGATTTGAAGAAGGCTGGTGATTGGGCAGTGGTTACCGGGGCGACCGATGGCATCGGTAAGGCATTCTGCCAACTTCTTGCCAAGGATGGCCTCAACATCTTCCTCATCAGCCGCAACAGAACCAAACTCCAGACTGTGGCTGAGTACCTGGAGAAGCAGTACAACGTCAGGACGAAGATCTTTGTTGCTGATTGCACAAAGGTGCGTTTGCGGTGTTGGGCCCAACATATTAATGTGCTTATCATGCAATGCTTGACTCATTGATTTCGTTTAGAATGACTTCTACGACGAGTTGCAAAGCGAACTCTCCAGTCTTTCATCGATTTCCTGTCTTATCAATAACATTGGTAGGACCTACATTTATCCTGACGATCTCGTCGACAGCATCAACGCCACAACTCTCACCAAGATCACACGTCTGGCACTTCCAAAGATGGTTAACGACCCTCTGCCCACTCGCGATGTTCATCGCTACGTCATCAACATCGGTTCCTTTACTGGTCTCTTCGTCTTCCCCTACGCCGCCGTCTACTCTGCCTCCAAGGCCTACGTCCACAGCTTCACGCAGGCTCTGGCCGTGGAACTGAGAAACACGTGTGTTCGAGCTCAACTCTTCACGCCCTCCCTCGTCGCCACCAAGATGTCTGGCTCGAAGTCATCCTCCCTGGCATCTCCGTCGCCCATGACCTACGCCGACTCGGCGTTGTCGATGGTCGGGGTGAAGATCGCCAGCTGTGGCTACTTCTACCACGACGTGAAAGCTCAGCTGATGCGTTTGTTGCCGTCATGCCTGCTCTCACCGATTCTACTCAGAAGGAAGATTCGTGCTCGAGATAGGTGGCTCCGTGAAACCAAAAAGAAGTCTGGTTAAATAAGTCTTTCATCGCAAATAAACCATCCGCACTGTGAATTTGCTGTCCTGTTGTGCTAGGGGTGATGCGTCAAAACGAAGTTAAATGATTTCCGTGTTCATATGGAAATCATCAAAAATTATCGTTTTTAATGAATATTTCTTAAGTTTGTTATCGGCTTCAAGTGACACACGAAGCGAATTCCAGTGGTGGTCCCTGTTAGATAATTTAATTATTGCCAACCAATATTTGGACAAGAGGGCAGTGTGAGATCTGCGAATGTGGTTGAAATGCACACACTCCTGATCACCCTTGTTCCACCATCCTCTCAATGTGCCAGTGATCAGGCAGTTGTGCGTTGTGCATCGTCTGTTCCGGACATGATTCCTCGTCACAAGAATTATAGTCACTGCGGTGATGCATTCAAGGAAGCACACTGGAGCATGTTGTGCTAGCTCATCTCGCTGTGGATGCATCCTGAATAAGCTGACACTTCAGCAGTGGACGGCAAGCGTTTTTTGCAATTCCCCCATGCACCACAAGGCAATTTCACACTGAATAGAGCCTACTCAACCTAATTATTACGATGTTTTCGAGTCAAAATAGGTGCGAATTATCACTGACCTTGTAGGTGGATAGAGCATGGCGCGACACAATGAATTGTTGTTTGCACGATCTTGCACAACACGACCACACACGATTGTAGAAATGCCGCCATCGGAGCAGATGTCAGCTCATGAGGGCATTCGCTTGGAAAATCAAGCTCACTGCGATTGACTCTCTTCCTTCCCACCACCATCACAGTCACGTTGTCTTGGCAACTTGGTTTCCGTTTGACAGACATTGCAACCATGTTGGCAATCAGCAGCACATTTTGTAAATTATACCCTTTATCTGGACGTAGTTAGTCCTCACAGAAGCATTACCTGCGTCTGATTCCAGCCACACGATTCAAACGTGCCTTGGTCAGTTCCAGCATCCCAGGAGCCTACGCTTGGAGATCCTCTCTCTCATCAACCAGGAGTCAAGCCATACGGGCGAACGCTTGAGCCGGTGAATACGAAGATTTGAAGTGCAGTGTGGACTCACTGCAAAATCGACCAATCACATTCACACAATCAGTTGTCAGTTTTCACGAAGTTGGCCAGCCACTGCTTCCATTCTTCCGTGCATACACGCTGTGCCGAATGAGTCCGGCAAAACGAATATTCATTGAGTTAAAATTGGCCAAAACAATTTTAAACAATTAGAATTTGACACTGATGCATGTCTGGAGTGCGAACGAACGCAAGCATCCAGATTCGCATTTAAAGACAATTTCGTCTCAGTGAATTGGTTTAAACGCATCAAGTCCATGCCACGTTGTCATGACATCCATCGTCATCAATAACTGCCACTAGTAAATTGATCGCCTACTACCGATTACAAACTGACTCTGTTGACAATTTAGTCAACTACAATTTTGTCCACAAGCTCGGCATCATCGGTCGCGTTGGTTCGAAGGACCTGCAATTAAATGTCGAGGTGACGTTTTAGTCAACGCATGTACGTTTGGTGTTTGTTGAGCTGGAAGAAGCGTTTGTCGACCGCTCTTGTGTTTATGACGAATAGGGAAATATAATGTGAGCATTGCAGGAATATTTGGACTCAATTGACTCATTCCCAATGCTCGCCAACGTGGATTGTTTTGAAGGAGTTAAGCCAACCGAATTGCTTGCTTCTGTGAAGACACACATAATCTTGCCTACTTCAAGTGACGAGTAGCACTGCAACATCTCTTGCAAATCCGACATTTGCAATGTCATGACAACGTCTCCTGTGGAATCCACTTGGACAGCGAGTCTGCCACAGCCATTCTCATCAACCAATTTGCAAGCTCTCGAAATGCAAATCCAGATAGTGTCGATATCTAGCAAACACCAAACCGTTTGAGAAGGACCATCTGAAGAACTGAGTTGTGGTTGAATTTCTAGGTAAATTTATGGGTTCGGAATTTGGGGACATGGAATCAGTTGAATTTGAAGACGCAGATTTTAATTCTGGTGGGAATATTTGACTCACTCGCCCCCCCCTCTACGAGTCACATGATTCCTCAGTGACGTCAATTCGTGTGTTTCAAGGACTTGAGGTGTTTAGCCACCTGGATCCAGTCGAATTTGCCTCCTTGCATACGGCCCTGGGTTGACGCATGGAGGTAGCACTGCTGACAACCGACTGGCCTGCATTTGAGGACACGCAGGGTTTCTGTTTCACCTCCCACAACCCCTTCACACCCAACCCACCAACCATCTGATCAGCTTGTGGTGTAATCTGCACCAAAATTACCTGCTCCGCATTCAGTCATCTACAATAAAGACTCGAAATGTCTTCGCGACTACTCTGTGCTCGAGGGTTGAACATCAGTGTCCACTAGGCGGCCTCAATGGGGCATGAGACGAAATATGAAACGGTTACTTCTGGAGAGAAGATCGAATAGGGTTCGTCAAATTCCAGATGCAGGTTGCAGATTTACGCTACAATGAACGAAGAGACATCTGCATGCTGAGATCTCATCCAACGATTCTCAATCGACTGAGTCTATTTCCCTCTGTCTCGTCATACTAGTCGACACATTCGCGTTCTTCTACCAGGAGAGACATCTGAATGCTTCGATTCTGCTGACTTGCAAGTGAAGTGTTTCATTCCTGCACGGCATTGCTGACGCAAACCTTCCCATTTGCGATGGCAAACGCTCTCTCCCTCTCTCCCTCATGACGTCTCCTTGATACCGATAACCTGGCAGTCTTGGCCAACTAGGTGGTTCAAACTCGGTGAATTCGATCACCAACACCTCATCCTCCACTGCCGCAACAGGACACGATCAAACAAAACCAGGCAATCCTGTGAGCTGCTAATTGCCCCAACTTCCGGAGTGAGGAGGCGACAGGTCAGTGGAGTGTGGCAGGAGGTGGAGGGGGAGGAGAAGGGGGAGACAATGAGGCGCAGAATGAGGAGGATTGCTGTGCTGGCTGAACGTGGGCGCGTGTCTATTCGCAGCGGAAGTAATTTCCTCTGGCGACATATGGTTACCGACTGGACACTCTCGCGTACCTGGCGATAATTGCCTGCTCTCCACTGCCAATTACTCCAGCCTCTCCACCCATTCTCGTCAATTCCTTCCAGAGACTATTCCCACCACTCCCTACTCGGCTACGCATCTCTGCCAACTCCACCATGCGTATTCCTGACACACATGCCCAGAAAGTGATTGTAGTAGGAGTTGCTCGACGTTATTTGAAATGGCCACAATCACACAACGTGAATGCACTCACGGATAGCCTGCATGCGACTCAAGTGTCAACCACTAACCGTTCTGTTACCAGAAGTCAGACATCAACTCCAACTCACTAAGAATATTCCACCAATGTCCTTTTCACACTCCGCTCCATAAACTGCCACATTAACTAATGTATCTACTTCGTTGCATTAATGCGCGTTTGCTTGAACGTCCGTGTGATCTGTCCTGGCATGGGAATGTGTGTCCGACCTACGCCACAATTTCCACCAATCAGATTTGCTTGTCCAAGTACCACTGCATGGTTTTGAGTCCTCGTTTGAGTGGGATCACAACATGAGCACACATTTGCAGTTTCATCTGATGACTTTGTGACCAGATCGCTTTCTGATTTCAACGGAGGAAATTGTTTGGTGTCAAAGAAGACAGCGTGATCTTCTTTTGATGGGACTGCAGGAAAATGGGCAAGATAATAAGAGAGTAACTCAGAGCTGATTGGTTTGCTTGACAGAGGGGATGCTGTGGTCTCCCGACTTCGAAACATGCCATCGCGATTGCTTCAGGTCTGTGGGATGTTTGCCTGTTGTGCCTGCGTCCGCGTGCTTCACTCATCAAAACACGAGCGCTGCCACGATTTGTGGTGGTGTTAATCGTGGAGTTGGTGGATCCTCCTGCAATAACACGCCTTTCAACACTCAACACGTGACCACTGAGTGATCGGAAGGCAGACGAAGTGCCTGCGTGAGGAGATGGGACACGCGCCTTCTCGACAATCATCCCGGTCCATATCACGCACACACACACACAAAGGTAGCTGTTGGCGTGAGGCTGCAAACAAAGCTCACGCGCGCAGTAAATCCGCGGATTTGTGAGGGCTTAATTGGCAATTACTCAAATCCCCATAGGGAACTCGTTGAGCACCACGCGCCACGCCACGCCTGCCTGCCGCCTGCCTCCACACTCACACCCTCCAACCCACCCATCCACGCGCGTGCTCGTGTCAAATCCCAAACACCTTGTGATGGGATTCACCAGGGGTGGATGGGGTGAGGTGGGGTGGGGTGTGGGGCAGTGGCGGAGTGGAGATTTGGCGAAACAGCGCAGTGTTCACCTGTTCACTTGAGCTTAGGCACGATAGAGAGAGAGAGAGAGTGGGATGGATGGAGTCAATGCGGGAGGGTGGGAGTCGGTTGAGACGAAAGCGGTGGGATTAACAGGAGGACAGGCAATTATGCCATTCACACCAGCGCACGCGTTGTCGCTTTGTCGAGCAGCAAGATGATGTGCAGTCGGAGGTGGAGGCGAGTACACGGTGCTGCACGCACGACAGCTGTCGCACGCACACAAGGAGATGGGGCTCGCGAGCCTCCACACTCACCTCCTCGCTCGTGTGCTCTCTCCGCGTCCATCTGCACGCACCCCGTGTCATTCGCCAGGTGTTCAACTTCAGTGTCTTGCTCAATTTACCCCCAACTCAAACTCTCCCATCAATTGCACCTTTGCGAATTCATTCGTGCTACTGACCCATCAGCCCATCTTCTGTGACATTAAATCACCAATTGCAGATTATGCGTAATGATACGAGCCACGTTGCATTGTGCGCTACTAAGGTAGTACTTCAAAGACCTGCTACGTTGTCTGGTGATTTGACATCTGCTCACTCACTGCCAAATTCACGCATTAATTGCCATGGTAACTGGGTGCCTTGCGACTGACCGCCAATCACAGCACTCATCCCGATTGTCCAATCAAGCTGTCTCAATGTCAAATTAACCTGCGGTCAACTGTTCTCCTGTGTGTTCGGTAGCTCACCACCTCGATACTACGCATGCTCATCGGTCACACCACACGTCACTAGTTAGGTCGGCGTGATATCTGCATTCTCCACTACAACGCATCGTGAAATTGTGCATTTAGACTCGCGTAAATAACGCTCTTCTTCTTCACAGAACAACTGGGTGGATCAGGAATGCGACTTCTAATGCAGCCCATCAATTTTTATGTCCAAAGCATAGTTACACAACATGGGCGTGATGTCGGGTGGATTGGAAATTCCACTGATCTGTCTTCAAGCAGACAGCTCACTTTGCACAAATGCGTGTTGCAAATAGTGTTGTGCTCATGAGAAGCCTCAGTCGAATCTTTAATGGGTAGGAATCATCGTTCATTTGCGATCCCTCCTAATTCGCTGCATGATCTCTTTTAATGCTATTTCAATTTAATCGACGTTCTACGCCTTGTTCGAGACGTCTGCTCGCCGCCATCTGTGGTTTCACACGTAGTTCCAGATATGACGAAGTTAATGTCAACAGCTTATCCTAATGCCTAGGAGTTTATTGGACAATTGAAAGGGAGTCAAGGTGATTCCAAAATCTCGACACCACTAGAAACGATCAAATCTGCTCTGACTTTTGACAATTTGACGGCATTTCGTAATTTGCAAGCAATTTGTGTACACTTCGGAACTCGCTACATGCGATCCGCATGGTTCGACGAACTGAACATATTTCCATAGCTACTCCTCTCCTTACCCGTCTACAACATGAACCTTCTTTGTTAGTTGTTCACTAGTTGCCACTTGGCTGAACAATAAATGTGGAGAGGTGCTGTGAGCTCCACAAGCATCTCCATGATGAACTCAATGCAATAAGGAAAATCTAATCCAATAAGAGAGTGGTTGCAGGTTCTGCAAATTCGGGTTTCAAAACTACTAACGCCAATAATGGTTAGTATATTTGGTGCCATTGTTTGCATTATAATGTGCTGTGTTTTACTTGGATTTAAATATAACAATGAGCTTTGTAAACACCGAGTTTTGGGTGGTAAGGTGTTTATTCTTGAGCAGATTCAGCAAACAATTTGCTTCATCCCAGCTTGTCCTAGCAACACTCGTCGCCGCAGGGCTCATTTTGATGCCCTGACTTCCCAATAGTTTTGCATTTCTAATCGCCGCTGTTGCGAGAAATCGTGTTGAATCTGATGGGTAAATATCTGTAAGTCATGTTGTAGGATGTTGTGTGAAGATAGATTCTTCTGACAATGCCTGAGGTTAGTTGTCGCTAGCCATCGTTTGGCTAGATTCGTGGAGGCTCAGCTTGACGTCGCAAACTGACAGTTTGTTTCGGAAATGAAGATTGCTTAAGTTGTCTAGACGAAGAATGCTATAAATGCGATCAAAAAGTAGGAAGATGTGGCATATGTTAGCGCAACAATGTGGCGATGTAAAAACTCAAACGCATGTTTTAGCAACCGATGCGCTGACAGGTCGAAAGTGTGCAATCAAAGAAAGAATTGGGGAAATGAGACATCACGGTAATTTGTCACGAGGTGACAAGCACGTCTGAGACCTTGCAAGGAAGCGTCGAACACGATTTGCTGATTCTGACAGTTCTTTCGTGATTGCATTCTAGTCATTTCTGATTGATTTGCAGAACATAAAATTTTAATCCATTGTTCAATTGCTTGGAAACAGCATTCGAACTTATTTGGCGATTTCATTAATCACACAACGATCTATTTTGATCGGGTTCACCAGCTTCCGATACGCCTTGTGTGGATTCAGCACGTTCCAACAGTGGTCGTTTTCTGGCACTGTGGCCATTTCAATTTGACGAATGGACCAACTCGTGTCGCGTGAGATGCATATCACAAGTGTCAGTGCGTTGTTCTGGATGGCTATCTACCAAGTCACACTGGACCTCAATGTCCATCTTTGCCACTTGTGCGTAACCACTTAAATTTCATCCAGATGTTCTACTTGCAGTCCAGTCAACTTCCCGGTGTACTTAAGCAGAGTCATATGAACGTTGTACAATTCAAGTAGGTCTACATTGAACCCTGAGTCAAATCCAGTTTATAGACAAGACCGTTGGTCGGCCTCGAATGATAACCCCAAAATGCGACCCGTCGAACCCAGCTGACAAATACGTTTTTTGTGGCAACCATCACTGTACACTTCACTTGTCCCTCTGTGAGTTTCAGAACCTTTATTGTCTGTTGGGAAATGAAAGTGTGAAGGATTATGAATTAAGCTTTAGTTTCTGCAATCAGGTTAAAAAATATGGTTTTAGCACCAATCCCTTTTAAATTTGTCACTATACAAACGGATGTAAACACAACTACAAGCAATTCCTTTCCTTATTGATCAGTTAATAATATCATTCTCTTGGCACAAGCAAATCACCGGTAAACCAATCCCAATTATAGAAAACCACTAATTTTTCAAATGCCACATAACGAGAATATTTTTGTTTCTTTGTCATCAATGTTGTTGTTGCAGTCTGTCGCAGGTTCAAAATTCTGAAGTGGCCGCCAGAATGTTTTGAAAAGCTCTGCTTAGAATTCACTTGCATGGGTCAAACTCCGGCATAAATAGTGCCACACGTACGCTAGAGGCATGCAACCTAAGACCAAATCTGCTTACAAATTAATTGTGAAAGCGGTACAGCCAAATTAGCACCGATGTCAGCAAATTAAGAGCCGAGTCGTCTAGCAATTTGTCCGTGCGTCCACATCTTTTCGCGGTGCCTGAAACTTCAGCCATTTTCCTACAATCCGTTGAGGTTACACACGATTCAATCGCGTTAGTTGCAGTTAGTCTCAGTTTTTGTGCTCTTACCGGTTCAACAACTTAGCAATTCTCAAAATAGACAAAATCACGTGTGCACTTATGTCTTGATAGTAGCAATTAAATCTTAATCAGCTCTTTGTGAGTGAGCCACCCCTGACATCTTGCCTCAGTCGTGGATTTAAATCAGATCATTTGAAGAGGAGTAACAAAATCAAATATTACATGTAACAACTATTTGCAATACAGAAAAAAAGTTGAGATCTTCAAGTAAGAGTAATAACTTAGCTAACCAAACTGATGTTAAAACATGCACACGTGCATGCATGCACTCACAGTTTATAACAGTTAGTGTCTAACAAAACAGCTAATTTTTTATTCACGGCAGATCTCGCGTCTGCTCTTTCGGAACGCCTAAATCGAGTTCACCCAGATTAGCCCAGCAACCCTCGTCGCCGCAGGGCCTGTTCTAACGCCCTCACTCCCCGGCATTTGCATCTCTAATCACTGCCATTCCAAGCAGTCTTTCTATAACTGATGAGTAAATATCTGCAAGTCATGCCATATGATTTTGTGTGAAGATAGGTTTTTCTGGCAATGCCTGAGGTTAGCTGTTCATATTGAGGAGACGTTAAGTAAAAAATGTGATAGTCTAGATGGGGTAATTGCTTGCTTTAATCAAACTTTTCAGCGGTCCCTCTTGGATCGCCGTGAGCACTCCAGTTATAACCTTTTGCCGGTGGACCTTTAAACGCCAACTTTTCTAAGCGATTGAATTTTGTTTGGTTGAGACTTGTGCCAGTCGTGCTCATTTCACAAACGCAAATCAGCGCATAAATATAACTACATTCGAATTGGTCAACACTCTGACCATTTTTATAGAAGTTGTCAAGCGTATAAACAATATTTCATGGCCACTACAATCAATCGATTTGAATGTGGTCACCTGGTTTCGATAAAAATTGGGTCACCTGCGTTTTCCGGAGGGTATCAACCATGATTTTTAAAGGGTTCCATCAGTCTCCGAGACAAGGAAGTAGCCTGCGTCGAGAGATACGAAGTTTTTGGTAAATACGCTATTTAAACAGCCACATTTTGTTGACATGCATACACATGTATGTATCCAAGCAGAGCATTAACTGAAGTTCTCAAGGAAGGATTGAATCAGCGTGAGGAAAGACTTGGGAGGAAGAAGGGAGGGAATGGGGCTGGGGTTTGTTTCAGGAGTCGAGGAGGGGCGTCGCGTGGCAGTACTTGTAGCGGAGGCTCATGTGCTGGGAGAAGGACCCGGAGTGGGAGAAGCGTTTGCCACAGCGCTGACACTTGAAGGGCTTTTCGCCGGTGTGGAGGCGCTCGTGTTCTGTGAGGTGGTGCTTGTGCTTGAAGGCTTTCGCACAAAATGGGCAGCAGAACGGACGCTGACCTGGAAGGGCGGTGAATTTGGGCAAGTGGGTGGACAATGCTTTCACTTCGCAAACCCACCATCTCCTAGTCGGATATGTGGATGCGTGTTTAAAGCTAAAAAAAGGCTTGTTTTATTTCAGTCCTTGCATGAATAAGCCGTGACACCATTGAATTAGTTTCTCTTAAAAAGCTATCAATCAATATGGATACGAAGTCCTCTAGCCAATAGGCACGTTGCAGATCAGGCAAATCAATAAGTAGGAAATCTACTGTGTTGAATTTAATCACCGATAAAGCGACATTCAGTTGTGCGAAACATGGGTGCACACTGAAAACGCCCCACCCCAGAAATAATCGATCATGTTACTGGGAATTTTGTGACCTAATTTCGTGCCAAGGAATTCCAGCCGACGTGCAATGGTTAGGCGTGTAGGACGAGAGGCGAATGCTCACCGGTGTGCTCATATTTGTGACGCGCGAGGGAGCTGTGTTTGGAGAAGACCTTGCTGCACTGGTCGCAGGTATACTTGTTCCTTGTTCCCGCAGCGACTCCGCTCGCCGACCTTGCCTGCCCGCTGTTCTACAGGAAAAGTCTGATTTGGTTAGCACTCCGTTAGTTAGCTACAAACTCAACCTACTGCTGTGGAAATTGAGATGGATTCAGAACTTGGATTGTAGGTTGATAATAAGCTGGATATTAGCGTCGTGTGGCACCTTCAAATGTTATGCCCGGGGGAGGGGGGCAACACATGTTCAGTGGCATATGGCTTGTGTGAGCTGGCGTTGGGGGTGGAGGTGAGGGCAGGTAAGGCCTCACACGCAACCCCTCACGCGAATTCCACCACCGACGTGGCCGTCGAAGCCACCCCCTCTCCTCCGACCAGGTGGGTAGTACTCTCTCGCGTGAGACGAACAGATGGACTTCGCGATGGCTGAATCTTCCACCATGAAAACTCAAAATCCCTGCTCACCACCCATTCCCCCCCCCCGACGCCCGCCCGCCTGCCCTCCCCACCGCCCCCAACCCCTCCTTCTAGCAACCTGTCCCTCCACCATGAACGATTTACTTGCGAGTAGCGTGTTTGCGACTCTCCGTGTGTGTGTGTGTGTGATTGTGTAGGTGGGTGGGTGGTTGAGTTAGCAGCGGAGATACGGAGACAGATGGGCGTTTGTTTGCACGATCCATCATTAAGAGGATGACCATATGGCGTCAGGTAAATCACACGCACGCACACATATGCACGCGTGCGCATACACACATGTAAACCGGAGTAGGGAATTACGTGTAACACAATCCTTTTCACGTCCTTTCGGCGCCACCTTTAGCCTCAACCTCGGCCACCTTGGGTCTATGCAAACACAGTCCAAGCAAGACCTGGCAGTGGATCTCGTGGAAGTCTTGAACCTGGATTTGGCCGTTGTCGGACCTAGAACCCTGCTAATTGACTTGAAAAGAAGTTCCTCGTTATGTGTGCAAATAGGTTTCGCTGTCAGCCAGGGAAGGTGTGCTCGCTCAGGGCTATTAAAGACCTAATTGGCACTTCCCTTGAGATCATTCTCCCATACAAGGGAGAGAGAGGTTAAGAGTGAAGTGGCGTTGCTGGAGGCAATCTTCGATTCCGACATTTGTCTGCTTTTAAACCCTCTGTTTTATTTTCCAATGGTGGAATGGCTGGTTTCCACTCCCAACGGTTTTAAAATTTGCTAGAATCCTTTTTAGTACTATCCATTGTTGCCTACATCTAAATAATAAATCTAGCGTTTTAAAGATTAAACCGTGAATTGGTAGTCAGTCCTCTTTAACGGGGTACTGAGGTTATGAAGTTAACAAACACAGCAACCTACCCCGTTCTCCATTTCTGTCAATGACTCCCGGCCATCACAACTCTCGGTAGAGCCTCTGGTTCCTGTTTCGTGGGGGAGCATTGTGTCTTCGGGGGAATGCGTTTCAGACGCCATGGAAGAAGTAGCACATAGGGGGCCCGAGACCTCAGCTGGTGTCGCGTTCGATGCGAAGCCCTTCATCGACTGCTCCCAACTGTTGAAGTATATGGGCCAGGGTTGTTGCTGTGGCTCGATCTTTAGTTCGGGCTGATGGAATTGTCGCATTTGATCAAAGAGCAAATGGACGAGGTGCTGTGCGTTGAAGAAGAATGGATCAATCATCGGCTGCGGGACGAATGGGTGAATCAGCTGTGGCATCAGTAGAGATGGAGGAGGTGGCGGAAACAGTGATGGTGGCGATGACCTCTCTAGGCAACGCTGCCTACCTGAGGTGGACAGATCAAGCGGAGAGTCTTCGTCAAGCGCCTGCAACTCTGCCTCTCCCTTACGATCACGTGACCGTGCATTTTGAAACCATATACGGACTACCTTTGGCCGTAATTTTGCCGTCTCAGCTAGCCGCTGGAGGTCAGCTGCCGTCGGCATTTGATTAATGCGGTAGAAGGCACGCAAGACATTTGCTTGATCCGGTCGTATCACAGAGCGAGCTCGATGCATCACAGAGGAAGCTGAACTCGCGAAACCTCCCATCTCTGACGACTGCGACTCCGTGGAGGGGGAGGTGGAGCCGGATGGCTGGACGGACGCACCGATCGTGCACTTCTTGCTCGACATGTGACTCGAGTAGGAGCCGGAATGACTAAACCGCTTTCCACAGTTTGTACAAATAAACGGTTTCTCCCCCGAGTGAATTCGCACGTGCTCCTTCAAGTGGTGCTTGAATTTAAACGCCTTACTGCACTGGTCGCATCGAAACTTCCTCAGTTCAGCACTCTCCGTGTGACTGAGTTGGTGACGCTGGAGACGGTAGATGTTGGCAAATTGCTTTCCGCACTGCGGACATGCAGGAACGTGGTTCTTGTTGGCAACTGATTGAGGCGAAGCGAGGCAGGTGGAACTACTCTCAAAGGAGTCCAGAAGGGAAGAGGACGAGGGCGGTGGTGATGAGGCGACGTCTTCATGGTGGATACTCTTCATTTCTGGAAGCGGATGCCAGCAGACGGAAACGAGCATGTCGAAAAAGAGAATGGGGAAGCGTGGTGAGAAGTCGTGCGTGCGTGTATGCGTCTGTGCGCATGTGATACCTCGCCCACGCGCATTTGCTTAAATGCGTTCTGCGTGCACGCGAGGACAGCCAATGGATGAAGAGCTTTCGGGAAAATGATAACACGCGTGAGCACGTTGCTGCCGCCGCCACCGCGTCATCACTACCTGCTTGAACAAGCCACCTCTATGTCTGCCCCACCCCAATCCACACCCCACACCTCCCCCCTTATGCTAATATTTGAGTGGATAAATTTAAACCCCCTTTTTCGTGCAGAAAATCTGCTTGGTAACTGGTTCTGCAACTTGGCGATTTGGCTAAAAGTTCACTTCAGTGAGAATCTTGTGCCCTTGACCAATACGCGCTTATGCAATGCACTTGACCGTGCACAACAGTTCGATAACACTCAACTCTTGAACTGGTGCTATCACGCAAATATTGCTCAATTTGAAAGCATGTGATTGGATATTACGCCTCTTCTAGCATCAACGTCGAAAGTAACTTGCACACTCGGGCAAACGTTTACCTCCTGAACTGTGTCATGTTGCAAATCAAGGCAAAATAATCAATCGTTAATGTATCCTTAATGACGGGTTTAAATTAAAAAGAAAAAAGGAATAACCTAAAAAATCGATCTTTTGAAAGGTGAACTAGGAAGTTTGCAGAGCGAATCGATTGCTTTCGATAACCAGGTGTTCTGGAAAGTACTGCGGGACAGTGGAAGCGGACTCCAATGACTGTTTGATCTGGCTGCGATTGGAGCGTTGAATTATAGCCCTGTTGAGACGATGCCTCCCTCTCACCGCTTCGTCACAAACTGCCTGTTCTGGCCTGCTTCGACGACACGAACGCACCCACACACGGTCTCTGAGCCTGACTTAACCCCACGGGTCAGGTGTTTGAGTCGCTGCTGCATCAACTAGCCCATCGCCTGCTTGCACACACACACACGCAACTTGTTACATGTGAAAGGAGGGCTGGAAGGGGTGGACACATGAGGTGTGATTTCTCCCAAGCCTGGGAAATCCGCGTACTCCTTCTTGCCAGTGGCCTGATTTGCCACCTCATCGCACCTTCGTGACGCTTAGCCAATCTCAAGAGGGCGTTGTGTTGAGCTACCTGACTGCTATCAATGCAATTAATGATAATTAGGCACGTTTTACGATGACACGAAGACCAGGTGCCGCCCCGGATCACAGGAGCCGCCATTAGGTGAGACTTTGGCACTACCCTCGGTAACTTGAGATGCACGCTCATCAAGATGTTGCCGCTGCCGTGCGAATTGACTTCTTTTATGATTGTAGCCTGGGAGCGTTTATTTACGCCAAGGCCCTCAGTATGTGATGCTTCAAAATTGAAGTGAATGACAATAATTACAGGAATTATTGGTGACACAGGCCTTTCACTTCAAGGTTGCTAGTTTGAAACCGGTGGAGGGAAGGAGGATGCGTAGTCCCGTCTTCATACGAGTAGATTTCGTGCCAAGCGTTTTCCAGCCCCGCGCTTCCCACTCCCAGTTTCCACGATCAAGCGAAGTACAACAATCCCACGAAATATACGTGTTTTGTGGTGCGTGTGTGAGTGAAGAAGTCCCTTCTTCGGCTCCTCTAACCACCACCCAACGCCCAACACACATATGTCGACGTGTTACACACGCAAACCCCCGAGCGGATTAACCGGGGTGAGGGGAGACAGAGAAATCACTAGTCTCCTCCACCTTCACCCCCAACACCACCCACCCTCCACATCTCCGACGCATTGCCTTTTTCCTCTCTTCAAGTGCAAATTAAGAATGATGTTCGCTAGTCCTCAGGGTTGCGGTAAAAACGAGGTGGTGGTGGACTAGGGAGGGGGGGAACGAACACTGGTTATCCCTCTGGCAGGTGAAGATGTACTCACAAGTTTGCGTGAGGTTGTTTGTTAGGTGTCGTCGTCAGCGCTACTGCAGCTTCCACACAAACGTGTGTGTGTGTATGTGAGCGCACATATATTCCCTTCTACCTGGGACAGACGATAAATCGTGAGTGGAGGGTGGTGGGGAGAGGGTTGTTCGCGTGCAGGTCGAACCTGACGCCAGCCGACTGAGGTGGAGACGGTGAAGAAAATTCGCTGTTTCCGACACTACCGACGCCACACGCGGCCAGGACTTTGTCGGGAGTGGTAAGTTTTATTCAAATGCGCGTGTGTATCTGATGCCAAGTAGCCAAAAACAGCCCTAGTCTGGATTAAAACATCCTGCGGAATTCAAATAAACAAAGGTGACTTTTTCATGACACGACTTTTGACCACAACAGCATCTCAGTTTAGTTCAAAAGTTAAGACCTCTGCAACATCGACTTTCTAAGATGCCAGCCTCCCATTTTGCGCATGATTAGTCGAGGCCAGAAGTGTCGGATAAAGACACCAGTATCGAACGAGTAGCTTGGGTATTTGACTTGGTCTGCCTGAAATGTCTGAGTTCTAAGATTGATATTCCAGCCCATGAAACATTTGAGTAGAGGCATGCTCCAAACGCAGTTTATCAACCATGCAAGATGATTTCCTCCCGCAGTTTTATCCGTGTTGTACCTGATTTGCACCAAGAGTGTATATTGCAATTGAGGCAGCACATAGGGGAGCCTAATTTCCAGTGGCAAATGTATCCAAACTTCAAATTTCCTGTTTGAGCACAGACAACCGCCTTAGTCCCAGCCAAGTACCCAAATAGAGAATATTCAAGATTTATTCCGGTGCAACGCATATTGCCTGAGTGTGTGTGGGACACCTGTGGGTATTTTGAGGCCTAATTTTGGAGGGGATTGGGTTACACATTCATCGTCCCCCAACCCGTCACCCCCGTTGACTCATCCTCTACTCGATGGGCAAATCGCCGCGAAGGGAAACACACACCGCCTGGGAGCGGCTCAAATAACCACTCGACAAAACACCTCATTACTCCCAAGCACGTTCATTTATACACACGCTTATTATAATAACTACCGTGGTCTATTTTTGTGAGTTGGCTGTTAGAAGAAACGCCAGTTTTAAAACGAGCGCCACAGCTTCACTGTACTTAGATGCGAGTTCTGAAAAGCACTTGATACACAGAAACTCTGACTGAAAATAGGCACAAGCTCTGCAAAATGGCCTAAAATGCCGTGCTGGGTTACCAGAACCAGAGGGAACTTCCAATGAAATGCGACACATTCGTGGGGTTGGAGTTGCCTCTGGTGATGACCTTGGGTTACTCACGTTAAATGTATCCAGGAGCGTTTAAAACAAATTATTTACTAGCAAAAAATGAGCCAACTACAAGTGACGCCGTTATCAAAATGATTAAGCATGTGAGTGAATGAAGAGCGTCAGTGGATTTTCAGGTGGTCAAAATCATAAAACGTCGCTGCATTCAGAGTGGAATGGACCCGGTTGATAAAAAAACGCGTGTTTCATGAACCTACTCACCAAAATGGAAACCCAGTTTGTTTGGCTTCTCCTGCTTCCGTCTTGTTTGGGCCCGCCGGCACTGCGTGTCGACAGTTTCCTCCGGTAGGGCTCCCTGCAGTCTCGCGTGTGTCGCCATGGTGAAGAATGGTGTTTGCGAGAGTGGAAGTGGACCGGCTAAAGCCTCGTTATTGATGCTGTTGCACTCGCATCCACGTGCCACGTTTGCGAGGCACCTGAATGGACCCAAGTTACCACCCCCAGCACCCCTTCTTCGACTTTGTGCTCTTGTGTATGTACACAAGTGCTATCGGCAGCGCAACCAATGGGTCAACAGAGTGCACCCATCGATCCACCCTCGAACGCCCAGTGTAAGTGCGAAGTAAGAAACCGGTTAGGAGAGAGAGCACGTGAAACTCGAGTGGCCGCGCTAATGCTGACCTCCAAAATTCAGCCGGATCTGAATCGGATTTCGCGGCGTGTGAAGCCCTCCAACCAAATCATGATTATAAATCCATCGGTGAAAATAATTGGCTGATGCCTATGACCACTTGAATAAACCTAACTTGAGCAAGGAGCTTGTCGTAAGTTTAACCATTTAAGAGAGAGTCGCAAAACGATATAAATGAACAAGAATATTAACACGAATGAATTAGTAATACAAAAATCCTATCAAATTTAAGATAGCCAGGCAATGCGAATTCTAACCCGGACACTTCACTCAAGTAACAGTGCAGTTCGATAGACTGATGCTACTAGCGTTTGTGAGCACTTCACGTTCATGGTGTAAAATATGAGCCTTAATTGGAACAGATAATGGAAGTAATGGTTTTAGAATACGAGGAGAAAAGCGTACCTTTGATGATAAGGTGGTGTTGCAGTCACACTTCACTAGGGGCCTTTATCAAACACAATGCTGGCAGTCTTACAAAAGCAATAATCACACACAGGCGCACAATCACCGAGAGAGAAAGCACCAGGTAGGTTGAGAGAGCACGGGTCAGCACCTGCGAGTACCTCTTTAATTCCCGCGCCACGTCCTAATGACTCGGTACCGTGGGAAATCGATTTTGCCTTCCTCAAATTGGCGGTTGCTAGGTTGAGCTGTGCTGTAAGTAGGTCAGAATAGGACTCCGATTGAGGCGTGGCTGTCGAAGGTAGTTGGGCTGTCTTGGCACTCCCCGTTTGCGTGTGTTCACTGAGATCTTAGGCACTGAAGTCCAGGTAATGCGAACTCACCTCAAGGCCATTTCGAGTTGATCGATAATCACCGATTTGCGATCATGCTCCGATTCGTTTTCAACTAAACTACATGATTAGGCATAATAATTGCAGCTACCTGATGTATTACAATTTGTCTACATAGATTTGGCAATGCCAGATTTCTACAACAAATGCTCTGGCATAATATATCTTGTACCCCGTAGAAAATATAGGCCAGATTAAGTTGTCGAGGTTATTTCTAGGGCACCTTTACCGTCTTTAACTTCATTTAAGATTAATTACTAACTTATTAGCGTTTTGGCAAGAAATTTGTGCAGTTTTTAATAATTTTGTTGACGTCATTCTTAACAGACAAAACTTCTAGCTCGAGTCAAAAGCAGACTGGTCATAGGTGTATTTAAAGTTGCTGGATTTGGATTAATTCTAACAGCTGGGTTCGACGGGTCGCATTTTGGGGTTATCATTCGAGGCCGACCAACGGTCTTGTCTATAAACTGGATTTGACTC